GAGAAGCTGGGACTACAGGTGCGTGCCACCACACCCAGCTAATTTTCTTATTTTTTTGTAGAGATGGGGGTCTTACTTTTTTGTCCAAGTTGGTCTTGAACTCCTGGGCTCAAGGAGTCCTCCCATCTTGGCCTCTCAAAGTGCTGGGATCTCAGGAGAGAGCCACTGTGCCTGGCCTATGAGGGTATATTTTGAGGAAAAAAACAATTCCTTTCTGGTGTAACTGCACCACTGTCATTAAAGGGGCAGAAGTGCAGGGTGGGAGAGAAGTGGTCTGTCCAGGCGTGTGTGTGTCCAGGCGTGTGCGTGTCCAGGCGTGTGCGTGTCCAGGCGTGTACGTGTCCAGGCGTGTGCGTGTCCAGGCATGTGCATGTCCAGGCGTGTGCGTGTCCAGGTGTGTGTGTGTCCAGGTGTGTGCGTGTCCAGGTGTGTGTGTGTCCAGGCGTGTGCGTGTCCAGGCGTGTGTGTGTCCAGGCATGTGCGTGTCCAGGCGTGTGTGTGTCCAGGCATGTGCGTGTCCAGGTGTGTGTGTGTACAGGCGTGTGCATGTCCAGGCGTGTGCGTGTCCAGGTGTGCATGTCCAGGCGTGTGCGTGTCCAGGCGTGTGTGCCCAGGTGTGTGCGTGTCCAGGTGTGTGCGTGTCCAGGTGTGTGTGTCCAGGCATGTGCGTGTCCAGGTGTGTGTCCAGGTGTGTGCATGTCCAGGCGTGTGCGTGTCCAGGTGTGCATGTCCAGGCATGTGCGTGTCCAGGTGTGTGTGTGTCCAGGCGTGTGCATGTCCAGGTGTGTGCGTGTCCAGGCGTGTGCGTGTCCAGGCATGTGCATGTCTAGGTGTGTGTGTATCTAGGCATGCGTGCTCTGCTCTGCTCTCAGGAGGGGCAGACGTGCTGGGTGGGAGTCAGGCAGTCTGCCCAGGCGTGCATGCTCTCTGTTCTGCTCTCAGGTCCCAGGTCTCAGGTGCTGTTTCTCTTTCTCGTTTCTGAAACTGCACTTGGCCTGGGCCAGGCAGGACACACAGAGGCACATGGACAGTCTCCCAGGCTCCTTAGTGGCCATCTTGGAGAACCTGACCGGACCGTGGCTGAGGCTGACCCCGAAATGTCCACTTCTGTCCTCCCAAGTCCTTCCTGTGGTCGGGCAGGGCTTTGTGCCTCTTCAGGACACCTGGACATCAATAGCACGATACAACTCTAGGAGGACACAGGTAAAATGATGCAAGTGGTGTGCGAGGAGCTGGAGAAAAGCGGGTGGGCAGGTGAGTGCCAATGACTCCTTTTTTCTTGTTTTTTGAAATGGGGTCTCACTCTGTCACCCACGCTGGAGTGTAGTGGCACGATCTTGGCTCTCTGCAACCTCCATGTGCTGGGCTCAGGGAATCCTCTTTCCTCAGCCTCCTGGGTAACTGGGACTACAAGCATGTGCCACCAGGTTTGACTAAAGTGTTCTGTATTTTTGGTAGAGATGGGGTCTCACCATATTGCCCAGGCTTGTCTCAAACTCCTAAGCTCAAGAAATTCACCTGGTCAGGCTCTCAAAGGGCTGGGATTACAGGCATGAGCCACCACGGCTGGCCTGAGCCACCATGTCCAGCCCAATGATTCTTTTTTTTTTTTTTTTTTTGAGATGGAGTTTCGCTCTTGTTACTCAGGCTGGAGTGCAATGGCGCGATCTCGGCTCACCGCAACCTCTGCCTCCCGGGTTCAGGCAATTCTCCTGCCTCAGCCTCCTGAGTAGCTGGGATTACAGGCATGCGCCACTGTGCCCAGCTAATTTTTTGTATTTTTAGTAGAGAAGGGGTTTCACCATGTTGACCAGGATGGTCTCGATCTCTTGACCTCGTGATCCACCCGCCTCGGCCTCCCAAAGTGCTGGGATTACAGGCTTGAGCCACCGCGCCCGGCCAGCCCAATGATTCTTAAATCAGAACAAGCTGAAAATGCTTTTTAAAACTGGACACAGAAAACACATGCATGTTTTAGTTTTACGTAAAGAAATACTCAGACCTAAGGAGCGTATTTTCTTATGCGTGATGTTTCTTATTCATGGGCCCACACAACCAGGTAATATCATGTTGCTAAAAAATGACTCTAGCATCTGTAGGTAAGCCGCCACTGTCGTAAAAATAACCTTTTATTCAATTATTTTATAAATTAAAACAATATATTCTACATCGTATTGATAGTCTAAGAAATTGAAGCTTTAAAATTTCTAGATACCAAGATGAAAATCGCTTCCTGATCATTGTTACCTATGTCACCAAAAGATCATTTTATTTTTGTGTTTAATGAATTAAGTGATTGTCCGAGCCTTCAATTTTATATGCCTGCAAGAAAAGCACTATGGAAGCTTCCACGCTTCTATTAATAACAGCTGCTCTGCAAATCTCACAGCACTGACGCAGACAAGAGAATGTCTTCCACAGACAGCTGTTTCCCAGGAAGGAACCAAGCATCTGAGTCCACTCCTGCTGCTGGGACAGAATGCCTTGGACTGGGTAATTCACAGCCAGCATAAACGTGTAGCTCACAGTGACGGGGGCTGGAAACTGGAGATCACAGTGCTGGCCAGTTTGGTGTCTGGGAAGGGCCCCGTCTCTGCTTTCAACATGGCATTCTGTCTTCACATGGCAGGAGGGGTAGGGGGGGGCTCCCTGAAGCCCCTGTTACAGAGGCACCAACGAGGTTCACAAGGGTGGAGCCCTCGTGACCCAATCACGCCCAGCCCCGGGACTCCCACCCTCAAATACCATCACCTTGTTGATGCGGTTCCAACATGGAAAGTGGAGGAACAGATGCATTTAAAGCACAGCACCAGGTATCTCAAACCACTACCATGTGCACGGAGGCAGTTCTCCAACAGCTAGTTACACGTTTGTTTAAGCCAATTTGAAAGAATCTGCAAAGCTACCCATTTATAAGAGATGCTGAGAAAGTCACGCGGGAAAGCAAAGCCACCGATCCACGTAAAAGCCAATACCCACACCCATCACATGTGCGCTCCCACACATGTGCACACAGAGCCATGGCCTCTGGGAATTTCAGACCAACAAGCACTCTGACTCAGATGGGCGCTCAGCCAAAGGCGGCAGTGGGAACTTTAGGCTCTGTGGCCACAGGAAACCCATGAGCGTCACCAGAGGGTCCCTGCAGGTCTGAACTTTAGGGCCACAGTGAGGCCCTAAACCCCTGACCCCATCGACTAACCTTCCCTTTACCAGAAGAGCCACACGCTGGCTTTCCCTCAGGTTCCAGAGCTTTGCAAAGTCAAGCGACACCCCCTTTAGAACCCGCCTCTGCACACACACATCCCTAGATGTGCATGGCCACCTGTCCTGAGTCTGAAACAGACCTGGGCCATCCTGGAAAGTCAGCTCTGACTCCCCTGGCTTCCATTGCCATTTTCCTTCACATAGGCTTTCTGTTAGGAGGCATCACAGCAGCCCCTGCACCCCTGCCGCACACACGCACGGGGACAAACACACACACACGCCTCTGCTTCTGCCTAACACTGCAGCTGGGCGCAGGCTGGGGCAGTCCCAACAGTGCCTTCCGGTGAGTGGTGGCCACAGCCCGGCTTCCTGGTGGGTTCAGGCACTGGTGGGTACAGCTGACTCCAGGATGAGATGTCCTTGATGTAGCTATAGCAGTGTCGCCAAAGGTCTAAAGCCAGGAGCCACTAAACATGGCCTCGGGGGCAGGTGGCGAAAGACTTTTCTTGATAGCGTTTCTCTACCATTGGTTTCATGTGTTGCCTCTATGAGAATTCTTTTAAATGGAATAACTATTGGTATCTCTTCTCCACTCGTAAATTTTCCTGCAATGATATTGCATCTCTATATCGAAGACTTATTTAATGATCATTAATTCTTAAAAATGTTCCTGTCTCATCTCACTTGGATGGACGTCCCCGCCCCGACTCAGAGGCAGCAGGGTTTGCCGAAGGCCCCTGAGCAGCCCTACTCCGTCCAGCTCACAGGGAGCAGCACACGGCCCAGAACTGCGTTAGGAGGAGCAGCAGCTGAGCTGGGCAACATTCAAAATGGTTTAGAGAAGAGAAAGCCTCCTCAGAACCAATTCCAGGTTTTTCCCATCTGCAGACAGCACCAAGCAGCTTCCGCTGAGGCCATCTCTCTGTTCTCTCTTCCTCTCCCTTCCCCTCTCCCCAGTGCCTGCTGTGCAGCCCTCACTCCCTGGCGGCCCTAAAGCGGTCTCCAGAGAGGACCTTTGCTCACAAACTCGTGAGCAACTTTTATCTCTAGGCTCCCAAGGGCTCAGAGCTGCACAGCCCAGTGCAGCCCAGGGTTCCCCTTGGACAGTTTATCTGAGGGCATCTTCTTCCTCCAGCACTGGAATTACACCCAGACCCAGCACAGCAGGAGAGAGGGGTGGGAGCCGCTGGGCATGGAGCCACATGGGACCCAGCTCCGCACGAGAGCCAGGGACGGTGACGCCAGCGTGCATCACACTGACTCTGGAAGGAAGACAGAGGCCTGCCCCACTGGCTTTCTTCTGCTGGGTTCTCTATGTGTAGATGGACCCTACGTTTCCATTTGGACTCTGAAAGGGGAGAGTCAATTTCACCAGGCTCTCAAATGTCCTTGCCAAGGTATCTTTGTGGCCTGTTTGATAATGTCACCCAACTTCGCAGGCACAAAGAAAGCGCCACTAACCCCTGCCTGTGGGGTGAGTGTACCTTCAGCACCCTGCATAGGACAGAACTGTTCTCAGTTCCCTCTGAGGCCCCATGTGAGGGAGGAAAACCCAGGACTGCGGCAGAATCAAGACAATTTGACATCAGGCCAAGTCCTCAACACAAGCAAGATTAGTGCTAAGAGGTTAAAAGGTTATTCAAGGTCATATGGATACGACACAGGTCGGGAACACTGAGAAGTTGATTAATATTATTGAGTAATATTAATGTTAGTAGCAATTAACAGCAGCATGCAGGTAGGTAAACAACTATGAGAAGAGAAAGGAGAGAGGAAGCAAAGTGAAGACTCACATCTGGATGGGGGATGGCGTACTGGCCCTGGATTGTGTAGGCCTAGAGGGACAGAGAGAGACCCCGTCAGACTGTGACCCGGCTGCCCCTCGGCCCATCACCGCCACCACCCTCCAGTAACACAGGGACCCTCTGGTAGACGCTTCCCGGTCCTGGGCCTCTCCACCTGTCGCCATCCTGGGACAAAGGGCCGACCCTCCCAGGGACCAGGAGCCCAGGGGAGACTCGCCCACTTCCTCTGGGCGGGCAGAGCTGAGCTGGCCAGGTCTGAGGGTTGGAGGGCAACAGTTCAGCCACGATGCTTCCAACTCCTGCGACTCCAAGTTTCTTAAGGCAAAATCATCTAAGAATGATCTGTTTGACTCCCCAGTAGGAGGTCCACTAAGTATTAAGGTTTTGAAAATTTAATCAGCCGTCTGAGTAAATACTTTTGGGAAATATTTACCCCAAGAAATACAAACAACAAAAGAAAGCTCTAAAAGTTTGGCAAAAGCCAGTCTACACAGGAAGCGGGTCTGCGTCAGTCATGGCTTGCTGCCTTTCTTGAGAGCCCTTAAGACGGGAGGGGGTAGCCCTTCTGCTGTGGGGGCAGCAATGCACCCCACCCAAGATGTCATGTGGGGCCCCCGAGGCCTCATTTTGGTTCAGTATTTCCCTTGCCTTCAAAAGTGACTCCAACCTGCAGCCCCTTCCCACCCACACTGACTCTGAAATCTGGGCAGGTGAGGCCCCACCTGCCCCGTAGGTCCCTTCGGCAAAGATGCTTTCAGGTGATTCAGGTGATTTCATGGCCAGACAACAAATGGACCACACAGAGTCAAGGGAGAGCAAAGAGCATGACCAGCTGTCAGGACTTGCAGCGGACGGAGCTGCACCAGGCCTGCTGGTGGCCCTGGGGTGGAGGACGCGGCTACCAGCCCCTGGCTCTGCGGGCCCATGCCACTTCCCATGAGGACCTGTGGTGTCCTCGGTGACCACACGTGGGCCCCTGCACACCTGAGGGGTGCCTCAGGGAAGGATGCGTGTCACCTTTGTGCAGCCCAAACCCTCCCATGGGTTTTGAATCTGCCAAGAGTTTTCATCCTAAACAGGCCAATCCTGGGAGATAAAGGCCGCCTGAGCCCGGCTTTAAAAGAAACCCCAGGGCCGCGGGGCCACTGTGCTGCCTCGGCAGAGGAAGTAAAAGAATCTTATCAGATCCAGCAGGAACCCCACTGTCCTGTACAAAGTGTTGTGAGGACCAACTGCAAGTGTTTTGTAAAGGCGCTGCCAGGGACAGGTTCCAATGTGTCACCGAAGGTGACGGGCCCTGGGACTCATGCTGGGAGCCGCCCCCTCAGTGCACGGGGTCCCAGGTCAGCCCTGCCTGTCTGAGCTGAACTGCAAGGGCTCAGAGCATTCTGCAACCTAGGCCACGCTGCTTCTCTGACCTTATCTTCTTACTGTTGTTATGTTTTCTATCTGCTTGTCCCTTAGCAGGCTCTGCTAATTGAACCCGTGAACATGTCGTGCTAGAAACTGGGGGTGGCTGACAGGAGCTGCTGCTGGTGCAGAGGCCGCAGGGGAGCTGCATGGGCGCCCTCAGAGCACTCACAGTGGTGGGGCATCTTTTAGGCCCCTGATTTCTGCAACTGGACAGAAATACAGTGGGCGGGTCCTCCAGGTGACCTCTCTTATGTCTGTACTGGGTTGTGTGTCCTAATCTAGGCACTCTGGGTCTGAGTCATCCAGGAGACACCAGTGACTTGCAGGCTCAGGTCTCATTCATGCCCTCACTTCTGGGTTTGCATTTCAGCAGCTCCCCTGGGGCATCTCAGGGTGGTAACTCCCTGCGACTCTGTCCTCCACACCACCAAGGCTGACCACTGGCCAGGCCAGACTGTTCCCAGGACCCTGGGGCCCACTTCTCAAAGGGCTGACATTTTAGCAGCAGCCTTGGGACAGCACCCACTGCACAGAGCCCTTCAACTGCTGCAGTCGGGAGGGCGGGCTGCCCCTTCTATATAGGAGTTAGGGGCGCATGGCTGGCAGCTGAGCAGGGCTCTGTGCACCCTCTCCCCTGGAGCGGTGACCCCACCCCCAGTGGCTTGAAGACTCCACATGTGGATATTATGGATTTGTTTAAACATCAAGGTGGAGTCAACAGAGGTTACTAACCCTGTTAATTAACCACGAAATTGGGGGGAAAGCAGTGAAACGGAGTTTTGCACAGGGACTTCTCCCACTGTGTGACTCCGTGTGATCCCTGACCAGAGCTCCCTGGGTTGGTGAGGTAAGGACACGTCTTGTGTGCCCACAAGGCTGACACCAGGCAAATCCCTCGCTCGTCAGGCCCAGTTTTCTGGCTGTAAAATAGGGGTGTGCCGTGTCCTGGGGCTGTGTCCTGGGGCTGCTGTAAGGACGGCGTGTGCATGTGGGGGCTCCCTGACTACAGCAGGGCAGGAAGGGGTGTGTGCCGGGCTGTGGAGACGAGGCTGGTGCAGGGTCGGGGGGTGGGCGAAGGCGTGCTCTGTTTTGAGCACGCGGGACACCCAGGAGGGAAGGGATGGACACGCCCCTGCCTCTCCCTCCAACATGGGCCACAAGTGGGAGCTCTGATAAGATTCCTTTACACCATAAGGAAAACACCAGGAAAAGTCCTAACATTTGCCTCTTCTGTCTCCTTTCTGATGGGAAAGTAAAACCTCAGGCCCGTTCTGCTCTGCCAGGGTAACCGGTGGGGACATCTGCCTCAACTCTCCCTTGAACAAAGACACACACCGAGGCCGACTGGACGCAGAGCTCTTCCAGGCCAACCCCCGCCGGACACCTTCCAAGTCTGTTGGCCACGGAGGGCCGCAGGAGCCCTGGGTGGGTGGGTGCTCCCTGTGCCCTGGGCAGGGTTTGGGCTCAAGTGAGGGGCTGGGGCAGGGCCCCCATCCTCTGAGCTCCTCCAGAGGTGCTGCCATTCCTGGCAGGAGAACACAGAGTTGGAGTGCGGAAACCAAAGGGGCCAGCTTTGCGGACACGATGTTGGGCACCTGCAGGGCCCCTGCTCAGAGCAGAGGGAGGTCCCGGCACAGCCATGCAGACGCCCGCTCGCCAGGCCTACAGCTCGCCAGGCCAGGCGTCCCTCCTCTGTGCAGAGCTCCTCCCTCCCGCATGTCTCTGCTACAAGAGCATCCTGGGAGCTGGGAACATGGATGTCGGGAAACGAGACCCTGGTTCTCTCCATGCCAGCTGTTTCCAGCATGAGCCGCAAAGTCACCTGGAAAGCGTCTGCGTGCCGGCTAGCTAAGCAGCCAGTTCCCAGGCACTGGCTAGGCAGAGCCAGATCTCAGTGTGGTCTGCTCATCCTTCCTGCCTCGGTTGGGGAGGAGAACACAGTTCTGTGGGGCTGTCTCTATGGGGCGGTGCTCTGAGGGCCCTGCCCCAGCCGGTGCTGGGTGTAGGTGGGAGAGCTCTGCGTCCAGTGCGGGTGGGAGACGTGCACGTGAGAAGGTGAGAAAACCTGAGTGCACTAACGGGCAGCGGCGGGTGCTGCAGTAAAAGGCTGAGGTTGGCAGTGGAGGCCGCGAGCGGGTCGGCTCTTACCTGACCACCTGCAAAAATGACAGGGGTGGAGGCGGGCTTTGGGCGGTAGGGAATGGTGGCACCTTTCGGTGGGGACTAGGAAAAGGGACAGGAGAGGGAGAGAAAGCATTAGAGCAGCTTTGCAGCCTGGCAATGGTGAGGCGCTGGCCCACCCCAGGCACCCCTGCACTGGGGAGGCAAGCCCCAGCCCGCCCCCTCACCCCCTGCACTGGGGAGGCACATCTCGGCCTGCCCCACTCACCCACCCGGCACCAGGGAGACACGCCCCGGCCCACCCCACTCAACCCTGCACCAGGGAGGTGAGTCCCGGCCCACCCCACTCACCCCCTGCACCAGGGAGGCGAGTCCCGGCACACCCCACTCACCCCCTGCACCAGGAGGGCATGCCCCAGCCTGCCCCACTTACCCCCTGTTCTGGGGAGGTTCCAGCCCACCCTACTCACCCCTGCACTGTGGAGGCGTGTCCTGGCCCACCCCACTCACCCCCTGCACCAGGAGGGCACGCACCATCCCACCACACTCACCTGCCCTGCACCAGGGAGGCACGCCCCAGCCTGCCCCACTTACCCCCTGTTCTGGGGAGGCTCCGGCCCACCCTACTCACCCCTGCACTGTAGAGGCGTGTCCTGGCCCACCCCACTCACCCCCTGCACCGGCTCCACCCTCCTCAGCCTCCCCAAGTTGTAGCAGTGCTGGAGAGGGGAGGGAAGAACTCCAGTCCCCACGGCCCCACCCCTCCAGATGGCTCCTTCTCTTTGAGCGCTGGGGTACAGTTTGCCACACACCAGCCTCTTGAGAGTACCACCTGCCCTGAACAGCCCTGGTGGCTCTGGGGCAGTGTGGAGGTCAGTCCCATTGTGCGAGGCCAGCTGGGGGGTCCCTTACGCCCAAGACCCAGCTGGATAAGGGCTGGCCACTAACCCAGACGAGCCCTGTGGTGCTGGCCCCTCTGCGGGGGCCCCTCCTGGGATGCACAGGGCCCGTCAGCCTGGACTGCGGAGCTTCACAGGGAGCTGGGAGGCCCTTTGGAGCAGTTCTCTTGAATGCCCTGGAGAAAGGGGAGCCCTGCAGGACTCCACCAGGACCCATGTCCAAAGTGCTCAGCTTGGCCCGTGGTGACAGTCAGCAGAGATCCCCATGGAGACTTGGGAACATCCCACTTCACTATTTGAAAAAGTATTTTCCAAGAGCTTATGGACTCCAAAGGAAAAATTCCACAGTTACGATGAGGTTTGCGGAAATCTCCCTTGGTTATTCTGTGGGAAACTCAGGGTTAACACTTTTAGCCTGACCCTCCTCCTGGGTCAGCCCCCTGTGTGGCCATCCCCCGGGCCCAGGACAGGGAAGTGGGAGTCCTAGGCCTGGGGGGCACCCCAGCTGGGGTCAGTCCAGCAGGGAGAGGTGGGGCTGGGCCCACAGAACCGTTCCTGGCAGGGGAGCCTGCCGTGCTGGGAGTTCTGGGGCCTCGGCTGGCTCAGGGCCAGCTCAGTGCTCAGGGAGCGCCACTCACACTCAAAGCACCATGCTGGGGACGGGTGGTTGGATCAGCAGAGCCAGGGCTCTGGGTGTGACCTCCAGTAATATGGGGAAGGGGATGCTGGGAGGGTCTGGGCTGACCCAGGCTGGCCCTGGGGTGGGAGGAACTGACTGAGGGTGGACGGAAGCTGCCGCCGCCACTGCCCTCCCTGGCTCCTGGAGATGCTGGCGCCCCTGCTCGATGGGCCCCCAACGCCACCCTGGCACAGAAGCTCCTAGCTGACACTGACCTATGATTCTTGCTTCCTGTGTGGGCACAGGGCCTGCTGGCCTCCCCTGGGGTGGCATGACCCTCCCTGCACTGGGTGCAGGGATGCTGGGCCCTGGGTGGGCAGGGCACCATCTGTGGCTATGTCTGTGTTCTCGGCAGGCCCCACACAGACTCAGAGCAGCCTGGGCAGCCCTTTCCTCCACAATCTCCTGTGGGCAGCCCTTTCCTCCACAATCTCCTGTGTGTGAGGTGAGGCATGCCCACTACCCAGCCCAGAAGTCCTGAAATCAACCGGGGGGATCTTTAAGCACCCTTGGCTTTGTTTTTCCAGCCACTCTTTAGCTGAGGGTGGGCCAGGCTGTTTCCAGGTGTGATGCATCTTCCTCCCTGGGATGATGGTGCCCCGGCCTTGGTGCTGCACAGCCAGTAGGGGTGAGGGTGGCTGCCCAGCCATCTTCACGTCACGTCTGCTGTGAGTTCCCTGTCCTGCTCAGACCACCCAGCCCAGGAAGGAGACAGGTGGTTTCGACGATGGCCCGGTCTGTGGGGCCGCACTGCGTGGCACCGTGCGGCACCAGGATGCAGGCAGCAGAGGCACTAGGTGGCGCTGATGACCCGAGTGTCATTCGGAGCTGGACCTTGGCCCTCCATGGGGATGTCCCTCTTAGAATTGTTCCTGTCACTGACTGCTTCTGAGCCTCGGCCGCAGGGCCACCAGGGCCCCGGAGACAGGAGGGTCAAACAGAGAGCTCAGACCAGCCTCGAACTGTCACCCTAACCAGGGAGTGGGGAAGATTTCAGAACGAGAATATTTTGAAAAATATTTTTGACTTCACAAAATATCAAACTTCAGGAAAACAGAAACTATGCAGACATTTTTTAAAGAGTCAAACATGGGTTTGAACTCCAAGCCAAGTACGAGAGAGCATGAGCCTGGGCTGCAGAAGGGGCTGGAGACTGACTCCACAGAGCTGCTAGAACCTTCCATTTGGGGTGGGCTTATTCATTTTCGCTTCAGGAAAAGCTGGCAACTATTGATGGCTTCATGAACTTTGAGTATATTTCAGAATTTTTTCCTTCCCCCAAAATTTCAAGAGAGGCATCTGCTGTGAGGGCCCCTCTCTGCTTTTCCATTTAAAGCTTTTGCTCGCCTGTCTCTACTTCTGCATGGGTTTTGTGTGTTTTCCTGAGTTCTGCCCTTGGTTCCTCCATGGTGCCTTGATGCCTCCTTCTGCAGAACTGCATGTGTAGAGGAGCCTCCCGCCCGTGCACCCCTCCCACACCCAGCTGCCCCCAAGGCCTGGCTCTGGCACCATGAGCACCGTGTCTGCAGCTCCCACTCCGCGCAGAAGGCCCCTCAGCGGGATGATAACCTTTCCTCCAACTCTGGAGAGGGGCTCCCTCCTCTCCACATGCTCTGCCCTGGATGCCGCCATGGACACTGGACCCTCAGCTAGCAGCCCCAGCACCCTTACGTGCCCACACTGGCACAAATTCTCACTCCAGCTGCCTTGGAAGCCCAGATCAGGAGCCCCCACAGCCCCAACTGTGTGAGTCCTAGGGGCGACCGGGGCGACCAAGCCTTTGCCTGCAGTGCAGGAGGCAAATCTGGTACTGAGATGGTCTGGCCCCAGTGCACAGACAGTACCTCCAGCATGACCACACAGATCTGCTTGACGCACTGGATGATGGCGTCCGGGGTCCCTGAGATGGTCACCGCCCGCTCCGTGGAGTTGGGCAGCATGTCCCCAGCCACTTGCACCTGGGCACCTGTGGACTGGAGAGAGGGGACGTTGGAAGAGAGCACCAGGGTGGCGCCACATGGGGCAGCAGCACCTTCTGAGTCTAAGCACCCACAGCAGCTCTGAGGATACGTCCTTGGAGACCTGCATATGGGCCACGTGCCCCCTCCCTGCCCCATCAGAACCGCCCCCGTGCTGCCCCTGCCACCACAGCTTGGCACCCGGCCCTGCACCTTCTCTTGGGTGCACGTGGCACCTGGGTGAGCCTAGATAGAAGCATCTAACCAGAGGTGTTTTCAGGGAAACAAAGTACTCTTTTCAAATAAATGGAATTCTCTCTCCTCTGCAGAGTTTTAGGTCACAAAGAAAGGTGGACTCTGGTCGTGGGCAAGGAATGAAGATTGGGGTGGCTGCCCTGCTGCACAGGGAAAGGATTCAGGCTCTCCTTGAAACAGGACAAATGTGGGAACGTGAAGTTCACACCTGCAAATTCCACCAGCTGGGTCAGGCCAATGGCTCAGGGCCACCTCTGGGTGCCGTGGAGGCCCCTCACTGGGAGCAGATGCCATGCCCAGTGCCCAGGGCCTCCTTTGCCCAGAGCCATGTGACAAGCAGGATCCCCCCTGTCCCTAGCATGGCCCACAGGTAAGCAGTGGGGTGGGCAGGATCCACAGGTGTGCAGTGGGTGGGCAGGGCCCATAGGTGGGCAGCAGGTGGGGTGGGTCCATAGGTGAGCAGTAGTAGGTGAGCTGGGCCCATAGGTGGGCAGTGGGTGGGGTGGGTCCATAGGTGAGCAGTGGGTGAGCTGGGCCCATAGGTGGGCAGTGGGTGGGGTGGGTCCATAGGTGCACAGTCAGGGGGTGGGGTGGGTCCCCAGGTGCACAGTCAGGGGGTGGAGTGGGTCCCCAGGTGTGCAGTCAGTGGGTGGGGTGGGTCCCCAGGTGCGCAGTCAGGGGGTGGGGTGGGTCCCCAGGTGCGCAGTCAGGGGGTGGGGTGGGTCCCCAGGTGCGCAGTCAGTGGGTGGGGTGGGTCCCCAGGTGTGCAGTCAGTCAGGGGGTGGGGTGGGTCCCCAGGTGTGCAGTCAGTCAGGGGGTGGGGTGGGTCCCCAGGTGTGCAGTCAGTGGGTGGGGTGGGTCCATAGGTGCACAATCAGGGGGTGGGGTGGGTCCCCAGGTGCACAGTCAGGGGGTGGAGTGGGTCCCCAGGTACACAGTCAGTGGGTGGGGTGGGTCCCCAGGTGTGCAGTCAGTGGGTGGGGTGGATCCACAGGTGTGCAGTCAGTGGGTGGGGTGGGTCCCCAGGTGTGCAGTCAGTGGGTGGGGTGGGTCCACAGGTACGCAGTCAGGGGGTGGGGTGGGTCCCCAGGTGTGCAGTCAGTGGGTGGGGTGGGTCCACAGGGACGCAGTCAGGGGGTGGAGTGGGTCCCCAGGTGTGCAGTCAGTGGGTGGGGTGGGTCCACAGGTACGCAGTCAGGGGGTGGGGTGGGTCCCCAGGTGTGCAGTCAGTGGGTGGGGTGGGTCCACAGGTGCACAGTCAGGGGGTGGGGTGGGTCCACAGGTACGCAGTCAGTGGGTGGGGTGAGTCCCCAGGTGTGCAGTCAGTGGGTGGGGTGGGTCCACAGGTGCGCAGTCAGGGGGTGGGGTGGGTCCACAGGTACGCAGTCAGGGGGTGGGGTGGGTCCCCAGGTATGCAGTCAGTGGGTGGGGTGGGTCCACAGGTGCGCAGTCAGGGGGTGGGGTGGGTCCCTGCAGTGCACTTCTGCTTGCTTATGTGTCCTGTGTTCTTGTTTCGGGCTTTGAGCTGCAGGGTCTGTGTGGCCAGTGCTGGGCTTGCAGACAGCAGGGATGAGGCTAAGGAAGGCTGCCTGGCCTGTGCCCACCACCCCCAGCCTGCCCAGAGGCTGTGCACCCACCCAGCTGGGAAGGTCCTGTTACCTCCCTGATCTCCTTGATTTTGGAGCCTCCTTTGCCGATCAGGGACCCACACTGGCTGGCGGGCACCACCAGCCTCAGCGTCACTGGGGGCTTGCTGGTGGCAGGGCTGTTGCTCATGGAGTTGATGATGTCCTAGAAGGGGAGAGACAGGTGTGTTGGCCTCACATCAGGCCTCGTGCAGTGAGAAAGCAGGGGGAGTGCAGGGGGTGCGTCCTGGCTTCCCACACTCAGAAGCCGACAGAGCCCCTCCCGTGCATAGCCGAGGACACAGTGGCCAAGCCGGGCCAGACGAGGGAGGACCAGGAGATGCTGCTGAGCTGGATACAGATGGAAGGCAGGATGGTCACCGCGCTGCAGTGGGGTTGGGGCAGGTCTGGCCTTGGTCGTGGAGACCTAGTGGGCAGGGGTGTGGACAGAGAGGCTGACAGAGGAGTGCAGACACTGGCTCAAGGAGAGGGGAGAATGGAGGCTGGAGACCAGCTGGGGCTGGGGTTGATAATCAGGGCCAGGTGGAGCAGGGACATGGGGGACAGGCCATGACTGGGTGTTGAGGCCACAGGGGCAGACAACGGCTCCTGGGTTCTGGCATGGGGAAAGAGATGTGTAGCTAATGTAGAAGTGAGGGGCAGGAAAGGCTGAGGTGGGGGTGGCATGGTGTTTGGCTCATGGTCCTGACACCCAGGAGATGGAGCTGGGCTTTGGGTTTAGGCTGGCAACTCGTGGGGAAGAGGGCTTCCATCAGCTGTGTGGGGAGTGTCCCACTGTGGCCTGGAGTGCACCGCAGAGCGCAGCAGACAGCTCCACTGGGGCAGTGACAGGGCAGCTCCCCCAGAACAGCTCTCGGCTCTGGGTCTATCATGCCCAAGCTATGATTCCGGACAATACAGTTTGCTCTCCACAAAAAGTGCCCTCTTCTTACAAACAAGGCTTGGGGTCAGCGTGTGCCTGGACAGACTGCTACAGGCTACCAAGAAAATGGGATGGAGGTCCCCTTTGTCTATTTTCTGTGCTGAGAGCTTGACTTTGATCCATTCTGAGTGTTCTCTCTGGTGCTGTACCTGCTGGAGCCCGGGCAGAGGCTCTGTGTGTTGAGGTGTCAGGTCGGGGACCTGAAGCACAGGCCTGGGCACCAAATGTCCACTTCCTGCCACCCGCTCTCATGGGCCATGTCTCAATACCCGCCTCTTCCAGGGAAACTCCTTCTTGAATGGACTCGCTGCGACCCGAATTCTTGTGCCTGTCTCTCTAAGTGGCATCAATTCCCCAAGGATGATTGGGTCTTAGGGGCTGGCCAGGGGGAACATTTTACTTTAACAAAGTTGTTCACTGAGAGACAACTTAAAAAAGAAAGATAATAAGATTGCTTAGGCCCAGTGGGCAGCATTTTTTTGATTGATGTGAAGAGGCCTCCAAATGAAGTTCTGATTTTGAATCAGATTTTGAATACCTTAACTAAAATAGTCAGTTACGTGGCAGACGTTGACAATGAACCAGACTCTCAGGCCCTAAGCCCTCCCTCCTTGTCCTTCCACTGTCCTTGCCCAGCACTCCTCCTGTCCAGCCTTCCCTTCCAGCTCCTCCATCGACTCCACCTCTGTCTTTTTCAGCCCTCTTAAGACTCCCAAATGCCAGTTGCCTAGAAAAGCCCAACCCTCCGTGAGCCAGGTGTATAAGCAAATCCAGAACTGAAACCTTGGATTGAAGCTGAATTCAGAGCTACACTTATGGAGTCCCTACCCAGACAAGACCTGCAATGACCAACAGAAGAATTCAGAATGCTTTTGGGTGCACATGATCCAGAATTACCTGACCTCTGTCAATAAATAAACCCAAGGATCAAAAAAGGTCCCACAGCCAAGTCCTAAATGCCACCCTAAAACGTCTCCAGTAGGAACTGATTAGGACAGTCACAAACACAGCCGTGAAACATCTACAGCAGGAACTGATTAGGACAGTCACAGACACAGCCCTAAAACATCTACAGTAGGAACTGATTAGGACAGTCACAAACACAGCCCTAAAACATCTACAGTAGGAACTGATTAGGACAGTCACAAACACAGCCCTAAAACATCTACAGTAGGAACTGATTGGGACAGTCACAAACACAGCCGTGAAACATCTACAGCAGGAACTGATTAGGACAGTCACAGACACAGCCCTAAAACATCTACAGTAGGAACTGATTAGGACAGTCACAAACACAGCCCTAAAACATCTACAGTAGGAACTGATTAGGACAGTCACAGACACAGCCGTGAAACATCTACAGTAGGAATTGATTAGGACAGTCACAGACACAGCCCTAAAACATCTACAGTAGGAACTGATTAGGACAGTCACAGACACAGCCGTGAAACATCTCCGGTAGGAATTGATTAGGACAGTCATAGACACAGCCGTGAAACATCTCCAGTAGGAATTGATTGGGACAGTCACAGACACAGCCATGAAACATCTCCAGTAGGAATTGATTGGGACAGTCACAGACACAGCCCTAAAACATCTACAGTAGGAATTGATTGGGACAGTCACAGACACAGCCCTAAAACATCTACAGTAGGAATTGATTGGGACAGTCAAAAACACAGCCGTGAAACATCTCCAGTAGGAATTGATTAGGACAGTCACAGACACAGCCGTGAAACATCTACAGTAGGAATTGATTAGAACAGTCACAGACACAGCCCTAAAACATCTCCGGTAGGAATTGATTAGGACAGTCACAGACACAGCCCTAAAACATCTACAGTAGGAACTGATTAGGACAGTCACAGACACAGCCGTGAAACATCTCCAGTAGGAACTGATTAGGACAGTCACAGACACAGCCCTAAAACATCTACAGTAGGAATTGATTAGGACAGTCACAGACACAGCCGTGAAACATCTACAGCAGGAACTGATTAGGACAGTCACAGACACAGCCGTGAAACATCTACAGCAGGAACTGATTAGGACAGTCACAGACACAGCCGTGAAACATCTCCGGTAGGAATTGATTAGGACAGTCACAGACACAGCCGTGAAACATCTACAGCAGGAACTGATTAGGACAGTCACAGACACAGCCGTGAAACATCTACAGTAGGAACTGATTAGGACAGTCACAGACACAGCCGTGAAACATCTACAGCAGGAACTGATTAGGACAGTCACAGACACAGCCGTGAAACATCTACAGTAGGAATTGATTAGGACAGTCACAGACACAGCCCTAAAACATCTACAGTAGGAATTGATTAGGACAGTCACAGACACAGCCGTGAAACATCTCCGGTAGGAATTGATTAGGACAGTCACAGACACAGCCGTGAAACATCTCCGGTAGGAATTGATTAGGACAGTCACAGACACAGCCGTGAAACATCTCCGGTAGGAATTGATTAGGACAGTCACAGACACAGCCGTGAAACATCTACAGTAGGAACTGATTAGGACAGTCACAGACACAGCCGTGAAACATCTACAGTAGGAATTGATTAGGACAGTCACAGACACAGCCGTGAAACATCTACAGTAGGAACTGATTAGGACAGTCACAGACACAGCCGTGAAACATCTACAGTAGGAACTGATTAGGACAGTCACAGACACAGCCCTAAAACATCTACAGTAGGAATTGATTAGGACAGTCACAGACACAGCCGTGAAACATCTACAGTAGGAACTGATTAGGACAGTCACAGACACAGCCGTGAAACATCTACAGTAGGAACTGATTAGGACAGTCACAGACACAGCCCTAAAACATCTACAGTAGGAACTGATTAGGACAGTCACAAACACAGCCGTGAAACATCTCCGGTAGGAATTGATTAGGACAGTCACAGACACAGCCGTGAAACATCTACAGTAGGAATTGATTAGGACAGTCACAGACACAGCCCTAAAACATCTACAGTAGGAATTGATTAGGACAGTCACAGACACAGCCGTGAAACATCTACAGCAGGAACTGATTAGGACAGTCACAGACACAGCTGTGAAACATCTACAGCAGGAACTGATTAGGACAGTCACAGACACAGCCGTGAAACATCTCCGGTAGGAATTGATTAGGACAGTCACAGACACAGCCGTGAAACATCTACAGTAGGAACTGATTAGGACAGTCACAGACACAGCCCTAAAACATCTACAGTAGGAACTGATTAGGACAGTCACAGACACAGCCGTGAAACATCTCCGGTAGGAACTGATTAGGACAGTCACAGACACAGCCCTAAAACATCTACAGTAGGAATTGATTAGGACAGTCATAGACACAGCCCTAAAACATCTACAGTAGGAATTGATTAGGACAGTCATAGACACAGCCATGAAACGTCTCCAGTAGGAATTGATTAGGACAGTCATAGACACAGCCCTAAAACATCTACAGTAGGAATTGATTAGGACAGTCACAGACACAGCTGTGAAACATCTACAGCAGGAACTGATTAGAACAGTCACAGACACAGCCGTGAAACATCTCCGGTAGGAATTGATTAGGACAGTCACAGACACAGCCCTAAAACATCTACAGTAGGAATTGATTAGGACAGTCACAGACACATCTGAATTGATGTGTTTGTGACTAAAACATCTCCAGTAGGGGGTGATTAGAATAATCACAAACACAGACATAAGATGAAAGAACTGGAGATTCGGGGACAGACTAGAAAGTCCCTTCCAACAACCTTGACTGTCTCTACCCTTCAAGGTATGGAAGGCCTGGTGTAAGAGGAGCCCTTTGGTCCCATTAGGTCAATGGAGTGAAACTTCTCTTGAAAACAGAAATGGGGATGGGAATAGCCCTTCAGCTGAACAACAGCCAGCGGCAGAATACACTGAAAAAGGCCTGGAACAAAAATGAGCCAGGGTCCCTGCGGATCCGAGAGCAAGGTGCCCCTCACCAGCCCCAGCTCCCACCAAGGACGCTTATGTAATAGGTGCCGCATTCAGAAAGGATTCTGGAGAAAACATGATTCCATCCCCAGAAAGAAAAACGGAGACAGAAAGACTCCTCATTCCAGGCCAGTGAGAGTGCCTGAGGGAGGAAAGGGCGGCCAGCATCCTGCCTGGCCTTCACCCCTCAGGGTGACTAATGCTGGATGCAGGTGGTCTTCCTCATCCTCCTGGTGGCTATG